CTCACCCTCGGCCCCTCCCCCAGCCTCTTCCCCACGATGCCCCGGCACAACTTCCACAAGGTGGCCCCGCTGGTGAGGTCGCTGTGCGCCAAGCACGGCATCGAGTACCAGGAGAAGCCGCTGCTGAGGGCCTTGCAGGACATCGTCCGGTGAGGGGGCGAGGGTGCCGGGGGCGGGGGGCACCCAGAGGGGAAGACCGTGCACCCACAGAGGAGAGGGGCGGAGCGGGCTTCTCTTCCCGCACAGCTGGCAGCCACCTGCAACGTGGAGCAGTCCTTCTTCAACGACTGGTTCAGCGGGCACCTCAACTTCCAGATCGAGCACCAGTGAGTGCGGCACAGGCGGGGCCGGGGCTGGTGGGTAAGGGGGGAGGGAGCGGCCACCAGCCCCATCTGGGCAGAGGGCCTCGGGCTCCCCTCCTCTCCTAGGGCTCCCCGTCCTCTCCTGGCCCCTGACTGCCCCCCCCCCTTTCTCCCCAGGTCCCTGAAGAAGTCCGGGGAGCTGTGGCTGGACGCCTACCTCCACAAATGACACCACAGCCCGCGGGCGCCGTGGGGGGGGGAGCAGGTGGGGTGACGGCCGAAGGGCGGGTGGGGTTTTGTTCTGAGGGGTGTCCCTGAGGCCACAGTGTTTGGGGGCTCCCTCTCTCCCCCACTTGGGGAGATCCCCCACCTCCACAGCCAGCCCCGCTGAGGCCGGGAGGGGCGCCCTGTGCCCCCCGTCATCGGGACAGCCACCCCGTGTGGCTGGAGCTTCGCAGTCACAGAGCTCATACCTGCGCCTCCCTTGGTCCGTGAGCCCCACGGGGCAGGCAGGGCGATCCTCCCACTTTATTGACAGGGAAACTGAGGCCCAGCGAGGTTGGGTGGCTTGCCCAGAACTGAGATGCCAGGGGCTTCCCCCGAAAGGCCCCCATCCCTGCTGCCCCTCATCCTCGTCTCCCGTCACTTCCTTTTCGTCTCACCCCTCCAGTTCATTCATTTCCTTTTTATTTTTTACTTTTAAAATATATTTTTATTGATTTCAATTTTTGTAAAATAGATTTTTATTGATTTAAGAGAGTAAGGGAGGGAGAGAGAGAGAGAGAGAGAGAGAGAGAGAGAGATCAATGATGACTGAGAAACATCGATCGGCTGCCTCCCGCACGCCCCCTATGGGGACTGAGCCCACCACCCGGGCACGTGCCCTGACCAGGAATGGAACCGTGACCTCCTGGTTCATAGGTCGACGCTCAACCCCTGAGCCACGCCGGCCGGGCCGCTGACTTCCTTTTCGGAAAAGCTTGGTGTCTGTCCCCAGCCTTCACGTTTACTTCCAGTCCCCAGAGCACACACAGCCGCCCACGAGCAGCCCCACCGCGG